AGAGCTAACGAATACACACTAGAATACTATGATCACAACATCATCAGAGCTAACCAAGATCAATTCTTAGACGACGATCGCTTCGCTAACCCACAAATCACCGAGAAATTTTTCATCAAGACACCATATGTATTTACACTAAACATCTTCGACCGAAAGTTTGATCACATTATTTCAGAAGCACTAACAAGCACACAAGCGTACGAAAGTTTTAAAGAACGCTTCCAAATCTTTTCACTAACCTTTCATTTCCTTGCACCACACGAAAGAGATTTACACTGCTCACACGATATTATGTTGCGAACTAAACAAACACATACATACAGTTACTATCGTTTCATCCAAAATCACTTTGACCTCCACACACCCTCTAGACAACCACACCATCGCTTTCAATTCATCAATTCAAAATACACTTCACCGTATTTCCTAAATTTCACATATTGTATTAAAAATACTAACCTTCATGGTATTCTTCGTAATTATGACCCCATAACCCAAATGTATATTTTCTGCCCCATCACCAAGACCTTCAACGCAGAAGAATCCCGACCCTTCCTTATCCCGCACGAGTTTGTACAGCCTATAGAAATCCCCATTTTAGAATTCATCCACAACACTAAATTTAACCACAAGTTATATAACTTAATCCAAAACACACCTTATGAGTTTGCAGTAGGCACTGAAGAACTAACCACTATTAAGGCACTTCAATTGCTTTGGCCACTACTTCAAACTAAAAATATCATCCGCATCTTAGCTAAACTACTAACAACTTCAGAACTAATTCACGATATCTTCCCCCACGGTTTTTTCCCCGACGACTAACAGGTAAGTATGAACTAAATGAATATTACTAACTAATTAAAATATTGAAAAACTCACCATTCCTTATTCATGTTTTCTTTAGATTTTTAGCCTTCATCTTCAATCATCTGAAAAATTCACAAAAGAAAAATAAAAAATAGCAAACTTCTTCAAAACTATTTAAAACCCTATTTAACTTTTGCACCAACAATTAAATAAATATAATACCAATGCAGTAAATTAATTTATAAAATTTTCCCCTAAAAGCAGTAAATCTACATATGATGAAAATTTGTATCTTAAAATTCCCCCATTACTAGCAGTAAATTTCCAAATTCTATGCAGTAAATTAATAAAATGCAATTGCAGTACTAACCTTTTGATATTTTCATTCATTCGCACAGAAATTCTATCCACACTCGCACAGCTCGCCCACGAAGAATTGTTTAAAATAATGAATTTCAGTTTCAAGTTTTCACACTCAACAACTCTAACAAATAATAACAAGTTTCAAACTTTCCTTTAACCCGGTTGGAAAGGAATCATATACTAAACAAAACTAACCAACGCAGCTTACTAAATACCACAAATCATAAAATAACAGCATGACTAAGAAAAGGAAACCAACGGTACCCAAACCGGATTAACCCAGTTTAAAACTGGATAATTTATTCTTTTGAAGACTATTACAAAGTCTTAGAAAGAAATAATAAAACACAAAAAAGTCAAAAGACAAACCCATACCACAAACAATTTGCTTTTTGGAAAAAGTACATAACCAACAAAACATAAGTAAAACCACAACAAACCCAACATAAAATGTTGTCACATAACAGGACCCCTCATAAAAACCGCATGAAATCATACTCCCACACCTGGCCTAACCCACCAGGAAAGGACGTCCTGAGCATGCTCTATAGCCGGCCTAACCCACCGTGCTACATCCACGCTTTGTGACCACACCTTTATTTTTAATAAGAGCTACTCAAGGGTGAGTAACTCTTCAAAATAACCGAACTAAAACAAAAAGCTTTTGTGAAAACAACTAACTAAAATCATAATTAAAAAATATTAAATTAATAAAAGTTTTATAAAATGTAAAATCACATGATGCAATATATAGATCAGAATACAACACCAAGGACGAACATCAAAAGACAAGACGACCTCACTACACTCGAGAGAGAATGACCAACTATAATCGATATGCCGCTCACAATCACAACTCAAAGGATTTAGAGTACGACTTGACCTCGCAGAAAAGGACTTCATTGAACTAGACCAATGACCACCTCGATGTTCAAGTATACGTACAGATCCGAGTAACCAGGCATCCCCTCCACGCACAATCTCCACGCCATTCCCGAGCTAGATCAAACACAAAAGAAGTTCTCTCCGAAGAACAGAAAAACCTGACATAGCCAACCATTCTGAAACCAGAATTGATGCTGTTGCAGAGACTCAGTCGTTGTCACAAGAAGAACACAACGTCTTGTGTCCTCAATTCCAGATCCCTGGAACTTCCTTAACAAAAAGGAAACAAAAGAAAAATGATGTTCGCCAAATACCAACGTCCATCATCCATCCTTGAACTACAAAAGAACTGTTCTAAAAAACTCTGTAAAACCCGGATGGGTGGAACCTGATCTAAACTATATTTTATGATTGGATAAATTAAATGTTTTACCAATGTAAAGTATTTAATATTAACCAATCATGATCCATCTAACTAACAACCCACTTATTTGTAAGTGCTGAAGTTACTTGTAATTTCAGCACCAGAGAGATTTGAATTTAACTTAGAAATTAGTTGGACTCTCCCGAGCACTTCAGCAGCCGCAATAAACCAGTATACCCTAGATCTATTGAGCCTAGCAGAGACTAGTTAAACAACCTGAGACTAGATAGTATAAGAGTAAGATTAGGATCGGTATTAGACTAAGAAGTTGCACGAATCTATCCGGCCGAAAATAAGATAGCGTGACGAGCAGACGGTGTACCCTATCCGAAATTACTCTATGAGTTACACTCCAGACCTAACTCAAAAAGCTGCATAGAACAGAAATTTAGAGGATGATCAAACTAGTAGTCATGGCAGTTTTTTTTTCAAATACCAAATAGAAAAATAGACGTTTCAAGTTCTGGGTCTTTTCTGTTTTGCGGCCCATAACCTTTTTTTTCATATTTCGAGAATTGGGTCATAATGCTCGAATCTGATTGGTGGTTGAAATTAGTTTCAGCAAAAGAAAACCAGGATATTTAATAAAAACAAAAACTCAATTAACAATTTGTTATTATTGGGCCCTATAACAGAAAAGACACCGAGTTCTAATTAGGAAGAAAAAGTTTGCCTTTAATGATTTATATGCCTTTGAGACTTTTTTCCCACTTCGACTAATTAATTCACATTTTCTTACCTTTTTCGATAAATTAATGCTCAAGCACAAATTTTTTTTTAATTTTGCCGGAAAGTTTTGTAAACAGAATTGAGGCAAACGAATTCTTCCCTTTTTCGATATAGTTAATGAGCAAGCACAATTAAAAAGAAATCTTGCCTCAAAAATTTTGAAACTGAATTGAGGCAAGCTGAAACTTTTCTACGCATTTTTAATTCGCAAATAAAAAAGACTAAGAAAGTTTTTCGTTGAGTTTTTCTTCATTTTGAAAGGCTTTTTGTTAGCGATGTAGTTGCTAAGATGATGTTAAAGAACTAACTAGAATGAGCATAGAAAAAACCAAAAAAGAACAGTATCTAAAAAAGATAACATAAAATATAGCTGTTCTTAACAAGACAGAATGTTACTGGAAGCTTGCAGCACAGTCGAGCAGCAAAAACAATGAAAGCCAAATTTTTAAAATTTATAAATTAAATTTACTTTGTACAACTTATTGGGTTTTTTTTTTCTAGTCAGCGAATTGACAATCAGCTTCAGAATTGAGCTGAAACAATATTGAATAAATTTTATAAAAAAACTTCAAGAACCAACCCAAAAAAGAAGGGCATCAAAACTATTCGGTTAAATCACTAATCACACAGCCTAGTAGTAAGCCAACTTGATTAGCAAAACTATTGTTACCAACTTTTCTCGGCCTTGAAACAACCTTAAAGCATTTTTTTAAAATCCGAGTGAAAAATGAAAGGTCTTCAAAATGACGGATCATTCAGTCTCGTAGGACGTGAGTTTGTGTGAACAAATAAAAAGATACACTCTGGGCTATCAATCATTGCCCCCTCAGGGAGTTTAAAAGGAAAGAGTATTTAGGAAAGAGTATTTTTTAAACTATAATTTCAATAACTGCTTGATATTGATTTGACAATCAAAAAGTTCAAACCGGCTTTTTTCGACACCGGACACTTTTGAAATATTTTAATATGAGCTTTTTATATAAAAAATTATGTGATTAGACACAGCTGACGCGTCTTTTAACTATTTGATTTTTTTGCGGAAAAAGTCACCCAATTACCAAGTTATATGGTCTGAGTCATTACAATATTTTTGATTTTGCGTGCGTCGTTCGGGCAGATTCATTATAAGCAAAACTTTCATCTTCCAAAGTTTTTTTCATATTTTAGTATTCAAAAATGATTCAAAAATGGTTTAATCATTTTTATGCATTAGATGTTAAAAAATTAAGGCTTTATTCAATTGCCCAAAAAGCCAACAAAAATGAATTCTGCATCGCATCCGGGATTTAAAGATTTGTGAAAACGACTTTTTGATGAACGTTTTTTGGTAGCCAGAAATTCAAATGTATTCTTTGTTCACGAAGACACCACTCGATAGACTGCTAACTGCACTTTTTGAATTTGTTCCAAAATGGGATTTTTAAATTGTTATAAATTTGTTAAATAATAATCGAGTATGTTCCCTTTGTATAAACTAACTTATTAAACATTTTTAAGAAATCAAAACATGATCTTAGTGTTGACTTTATATTAACAGAAACAAGACTGCTCATATGAGGACAAAGCTCTAAAGCATCTGATTGCCTTTTACCGTCGATAAAAAAGGTTTTTAGTTTCAAAAACGATTAAAATTGTCCAAATATTGAAAAAAAAACATCGTAAAAAATTCTCAGAATGGCTTTCAAAAATCAAAAATTGTTAGAAAGTTTTTTTAAAATGATTTTTTTTGTTTCAGTTCAATTTTTCAAATTTATTCCCCACATGTTATGTTAAACACAGAGTGTTTTTTAATAAGTCAGTTTTTATAAACAAATTGGACGGATCAATTTAATTTGGAGTATAACTCACCGCTTACGCTTAAAGAGGACAAAAAAAAATTCGCGTTAACTATAGAAGTTTAAAATATAGAATTCAAAATAGTCACAAACTCAAACCCGATACCTTCGCAAAAAATGATCACATGCATATAAAAATAAACAATCAATAAGGTTACAACATTACTGAGCACGTAGCACAGAAAACTTCGACCACATTATTGAGAAGAGCTCAAAAGCTAAAAAGCACACAGCACAGAAAGTTCCGACCACTTTAACTCTAAGAAAATTCCGATAAAATCTAAAAAGCTAAAATGCATGTAGCACAGAAAGTTACGACTACAATAATAGAAGACCTTTCAAATTTCAGCCTTTTTTGTACTTGGTGTTCTTTTCAAGAATAAAACAAAAACATATAATTTAATAAATTAGTCATATTTGACTCATTTTTTTTGAAATCTGTGTTGTTTTAAAAAAGTTTTCTTTGCTAAGGAATGCGCTAAATGAAGCGTCAAAAAATTAAAAAAATTTAAAACCTTGTGTCAAAAAACATTTATAAAAGTCTAAGCAGCAGCGTAAAAAGGTCAAAACTAAACAAAAAAGCAAAAAATTAAAAAATTTTTTCTGACTCGCGCGTTGATTAATTCAAAAGGACCAAAATGGCAACTTTTAAAACCCCATAACTTTACGAATAAGGATCACAGGTAAAATATCTTTTCCAATTTAAGCTCAGCACAAAAATAAATTTTGAATGATAAAAAAAATCCACCAAAATGGCTAGTTAAGAAATCTAAAACACTAATCAGTAGTTTTTATGGGCAATTGCGTTCTCCTTATAAAGCCAAATCAAACGAAGATTTCATATCCATTCAGATACATGCGTTAAAAGTCTCAAATCAAGGAAACGTCTACTGGGTTTTATTAATTAAATGATAGTGATCGGATGATACATAGAAGCAGGCACGGAACTAGGATTTCATCCCGAGGGAGAGGGGACATATTTTCATAAAGTTTGACAACCTTTGCTGATTTATTGATCTAGTTGATTGTTCGAGACTTCTGAATACACTTTAGAGACATTTTTCTACAAAAATTTTTTTTTTTGAATTTGCAAAAACAAACAAGGTCTGGTCGGATTTGAGCTCAATGCTTTTGGGGATACTCCCAAGCCATGTGTGCCGAGGACAATATAGAATTTGATTTCATTAATTTAGCCAACTGAAAGTTGGATACGAGTCATGAACAACGCAAGGAAAAAAAAGAACAATAAACTTGTTTTTTTTAAGACTGCAAATTGAGAATTTGAGAATTTTATATATAAAAATATATGGCATTATAGCACTTTGAAATCCTCGAACAATTTATGTTTGAAGTTTTTGTTAAAACTAAGCCAACTTCAGAAAACTTGATCAATAGGTTAAATTTATATTTCGCTGGAAATCTGATCATTAAGTTTCATTTTCAAAATTAAAAATCGATCATGGTTTTTGTGACCTGTGCTTTTTTGCTGTTCGATTGTGGAGTTTACCTTCAATTCAACAAAGGATGCGAACAGAAGTTTTGAAAAAATCAAAAATCAAACGGCAAAGAAATAAGTTTGAGTCTGAACAATTTTCAACATTTTGTTATACGTTCATCGACTCTCAAACAAAAAAATAAAACGAAAAAAAAATTTCTTAAGACATTTTTTTGCTGAATCATTTGGTGAATAATAAAGCTTTATAGACAAGGTAGCGCCAAATTGGGATTTAAAACTAGTTTTCTTGCAGTGTAATGAAATTTTTACTATCTAGTTTAAGGTAGTAAAAAAATAATTCATTTAGCTTCGAACTCGATCAGTTTCCTTCCAGCAGAGTAGACTAAAATTCAAAAGTTTCCAATCAAATTTCGTAGATTTTGACTTGGTACTTATCACGACTGAAAGCTCTTTATTAAGACATATCACTCAATCCAATCAAATGATTACTTATGGTATCTGATTTTGTTTGGAAAAATAAAAACCTAAAACATACCGGATGTCGTAAATTTGCTTCCACTTTCAATGATTGGCACAAAAATACTTGCCTGTTATGTTTAATACAAGCGCAGATCAGCAGTTTTTATGAGCGTTTGAAATTTTTATAAAAAAAAACAAAATCAAAGATTTCATGAAATGTGCTAAAACTTTTGAATCAAAAAAGGTCTAATGGACTTTAATAAATAATTGAAAAAGTTCAAAAGATAAGAAGAAGAGACGCGGAACTAGATCTTTTTAAGAGGAAGATGAGACAGATTTTCGAAAAACACACACAATCCTTCTTCCAAATTGTTGATCGATTTGTTTACCCAAAGTTTCTCAAACCATAGAGACTCTATTCAGCAAAAACTTCATCTCCGCATTTGAGTTTCATAAAAAAGTCAACAGTGCCAATTTCGGGATTTTTTTGGATTGTTCTGACCAAAAAGAACTCGAGTTTTTCTGAAATAATAAAAATTGGCGCCAAGGCCTTTAGAAAAATTTTAAGGTTTTACGGTCGAAAGTGCTATTTGATTAAAAAAAAAACAAAAGAGAGGACGTTTTTGGCGGGCAGGGTTTAAAGTTCTATCGCAGCAAAAAAATTATTCTTTGCCATTTTAATCATATTCTTTGACAAATGACAAAATTCCGGAAAAACAGCTATGTTTAAAATTCTAAATTAATTTGTAAGCTGAAGTCATAGCAGTTGGACAAAAATGAAAATAAAGAGTACAAAATTATTAATGTGACTAGTATAGAAATATTTTCTTACTGAAGCTTTTTGTTGGAAGCGTTGTGTTGAATGAGTCAAATGAATTCTAATTTTAAAAAGTCAGTTTTTTCTTCAACAAACTTTTAGTATTAACCTGTTGTTTTGCTCAAGAACAATTAATGCGACGAACAACTAATCCGTAGTTCTTTCAGCTACAAGTTTCACAGAAACAAATACAGTTAAACAGCAAAATTCCAAAAAATTCTTGATACCAGAACATTCTCTTGAAAAATAAAATCAAACTGCACGTGTTGTGGCTAAGCAATTAATTTATAATGCTTTTTAAAAAAAATTCTGGACCGTTTATAAGTGTTAAAAACCGACCAAATTACAATTTCAGAAAGTGTTCTTCAAAGTTCATGCAAAAACATAAAAATCAATTTAAAAAGAATTAACTTACCTATTTTTATTTTATATGAAATAACTTTTTAACTGAAAAGTTTTAAGAAAGTTATTTTTTTTAAAATATTTTTCCTTTATTCTTTTATATAATTGATTATGATCAAATGTTATGCACTATAATGGATACAAAATTTTTATTCTAAAATTGGCGGAACATTTATAAAAGCTCCTGTGTTTTCAAATTCGAAAAAGGAACATCCCCTTTGCAGCATAACCGCCTAAAACTGCAATTCAGTTTCGTGTCTTTATTGAAATGATGTTTGTTTTCTATTTTGTCTTTTTCATTTCACCATTAGTTTGTTACTTCTCACCATTTTACTTGTTTGTTTTTTGTTTATTTTTTGTAACTCAATTTTATCATTTGGTGTGTTTTTATTTTTCCTGCTTCTAGAAAGCTTATATTCATTTATTCAGTAACTAAGGGATTAAAATTCTTTGTTTTTTTTCCGAAAAAAAAATATCAAAAAAGCAAATTTTATATGGCTGAAAAATGTTGAAAATTTTATCTCCTACATTAGTTAAAAATGACCAAACTGTTGACGTGAGAGGGGTTATGCTTGAAGACTGGTTAATGTGAGCTTTACTTTTAAATAATCATGACAGCTGAAAAATTTCAAATTCTCAATAATTCTAAATCTAAATTAATTTTAGTAAATATTTAAATACAAGCAATATCAAACATTTTCCAAAAAAATTGTTGAGTGAAATTCAATTTGGTCTGAGGAACCGAAAAACAACCCAAGAAAATAATTTCACTTACTTTCCTTGTAGAACTTAAGGCAATAGGTTTTTCAATTCATGACAGGAAGAAGAGGGGAAGACGCCCGTGGGATATACAAAATCTTTGGACCGTAAACCATATGCGGAATAGATCAGCAAGAGAGCGAAATATTCGGCGAGCAAGGTTAGAAAACACTCGGTGATCGAATTCAATTGAAATTTTACAAAAACCACCTCATGTAAAACAGAATTGTTCACAATTATTTGTGTTGAGAAGAATTGTGGAAAAATTTGAAAAAAAATTGTGGAAAAACATATGAAAAAAAATTTGAAAACAAAAAATGAAATCAGCAAATATAAACGCCTCTGTGGGCGATTGGATCACCCATTTATTTGCTTATATTTTTAATTCAGTTTCTTATTTGAAAAATCAAATCCCATATTCACTTATACCCTCAGGCAGCATCGAATATGACAGAAGACTATTACTCTATGTCGACCAGCTACAGAGATTGGGACTATGGGGCGACGCAACTTATGGGCAAAACTGAAACTGAGCAAAGATATACCACCCACAAACAGCCAGAAGCTACAGTATTGCGAAACATTTTTGTGGAATTGAAAAAACCTAAAGTGAGATTTGCAAAAAATTTCTGCAGAGAAGTTGCAGAAAACCAAAACAAACTAAAATAAAAATAGCAGATTTGAAATGAACATTTAGAATTTTGCTTAATTTTGACATTTCTCATTTGAAGACTCGAATTTTTATTAATTAAATATGTGTAATTGTAATATTTTATCACGTTTTATTTCCAGTTGGGGTGGTAAGCAAAGGCAATTATAAGTTGAATTAAGCTAAGTTTCTTTTTTTCTATTATCAGAACGCTCCGTTAAATTTTCCGACCCGATAACTTTTTGAAAACACGATTTTTCCTCCATTTCTAAATTATCCTCTGAATTAAAAAATTGGCCGTAAAGTCCAAAACAACCAAAACAAACTAAAATAAAAATAGCAGATTTGAAATGAACATTTAGAATTTTGCTTAATTTTGACATTTCTCATTTGAAGACTCGAATTTTTATTAATTAAATATGTGTAAT